ATTTAACTCATCAATAACTAAGTTAATTTTTTTTTATTACTACCGCATTGATTATTACATGTTAAGGTTCATAATTAAAAGAGAAAAATGTTAAGATTATTTATATTATTTATTATTATTTTCTAATTAGTCTATGATTTCTCAAAAATCACTTTCTTTTTGCTTTTGTTTTTCGGTGTTATGAAAATAGATGGTAAAATTTGACTTTTTGAGAAGACTGGAAAGGCTCTCTCTCAGCGCGGACGTATGGGAAATTTTTTTTTTTTAATATTTAACTCACTCTCAATAATTTAAGTTATTTTTTTATTACTTCCACATTGATTATTATATGTTAAGGTTCATAAGTAAAAAAGAAAAATGTTAAGATTATTTATATTATTTTCTAATTAGTCTATGATCTCTCAAAATCACATTTTTTTGTTTTTGTTTTTCGGTGTTAACAGATGGTGAAATTTTAGGATTATAGTATAGAGAATGCTAAAAAGGCTCTCTACGGGCGCGGACGCCTGGGAAAAGCGTGTTTTTCGGTGGTGATTCTAATTACATTGCCAATGTGTTTTCTTAGAACCATAAAAGTAAACACCACTTGCCGTACATTTATTTGCATTGCATTGTTTTATTGTAAGTTATGGAGTAGAATCTATTTTTGTGACTTAAATAAAGGCTCTCTTTGGGCGCGGACGCCTAAAAAAGCGTGTTGTTTGGTGGTGATTCTAATGTTGTGGCTGTGGTTGTGTTGTGGTTGTGGTTGTGTTGTGGTTGTGTTGTGGTTGTGTTGTGGTTGTGTTGTGGTTGTGTTGTGGTTGTGGTTGTGTTGTGGTTGTGTTGTGTTGTGGTTGTGTTGTGGTTGTGTTGTGGTTGTGTTGTGGTTGCGTTGTGGTTGTGTTGTTGTGTTGTGGTTGTGTTGTGGTTGTGGTTGTGTTGTGGTTGTGTTTTTGTTCGTTTTGTTCTGTTCCAAAGTTGTACATTTAAAAAGATTTACCGTGGCGGAGCACGGGATGCAGCTAGTATATATATATATATATATATATATATATATATATATATATATATATATATATATATATATATATATATATATATATATATATATATATATATATATATATATCTAATATATAAAGCTCATATTTTAAAATATTTCTTTTAGTTTTTATTGTGGATGGTTGTGATAAAGGTTTAAGTTTACTGTTAGAGTTAGGTTTAGGGTTATGCGTCTATATTTGCATATAGGCTTTGATTGAAAAAGTAACTAATTACCTTAACCCGGGCAAAGCCAAGTATATCTGCTTAATAATACACACTTCGCGGTTTTTTATGCATAGGATTATCACAGGGCCAGCGCAGTGGCTGGCCGTAGCGGCTAATCTAAAATATAAAGATTAATTTATTTTTAAATTTTTTATTTATTTTTTTATGTTATTTTAATTAAAAGAAGCGTACAATTTGTTTTAGCCTTTTTTTTAAAAAAAAAATTACATAACAAATCGCCCTTACAGCAGTTACGATCTAATATATAAAGTTGATTTTTTAAACAATGCAAGTTGGCAGCCATTCAAAAGCACAATTAAATAAATTGTTACATGTAATTTTGATTTATTTTATAAGCGTATGTTATTAATGGTTATAACAAGTTTCATCTAGATCTATCTATCTATCTATATTCTACTAAGTCTCCTTTGTTTACATGTTTGTATATTTTTTTGTTTCTTTGGTTACATTAGAGAATCTGCACTATGTGTAGAACTGTAAAACACGTATCTTTGTAGATAATAATGCTCTTTTTTACCAAACTGTAAATCACAAATTCATTTATAGACGTTAATTGATGTATTGATATTTTCATTGGTAGAAACACCACCATAATTTTCAAAATTTTGAACAACTACTTTATTTATAGTAACGCTACATGGTTATTTAATTCTTAAACAGCAAACAAAGCAGCTTCAATTGAAGACCATGTTGCCCATTCAAAAGTTTAACGCATTTTAAGGCTAAATTTTCTGTCGACTATAGCTTTAACGATGCGTCTGTTTGCTATTTCATTAGGTTCCAACACTATTATCAACTTTCATTAGAATATGCTGGGTAGTTCTTCTAATTTGACTATAAAATACATTTATTACTTTAAAAAAAAGCAAGTTAATAAACGCAATAAATAATTGACTTTCTTTATTAAACTACTTTAGTCCTTAAAGATTTGCTGCACAAATATTCTAATTCGAGAATACAAAGAATTTAACTAGAGCTATGCGAAAACTAGAATTAAACCAGCCCTAGATAGTAGATCTGGATTCTTGCTATATATAGATACTAGAATTTAGATCTTAGCCAATAATGAGTTTCATTCTAATGGCATGTGCCCAGCTAGTCGAGATGACTTTGTGATATATAAAATACAATAGTAACGGGAAATGTACAAACCTACACATTATTCAATTAAGCCAATTATTATACAACAGCCTACGTGTGTATAAATAAATATGTTTGTGTGTTAATGTGTGGAGGGGGGTGGCAGACAGCAAAAGAAGACTACCTGTATATTTGATTTTACTTAAGTAAGCCCTACTTGATTTTTTATTAATGATTTGTGATATGTTTAATGTGTTATTTTTCTATTCCTATTAAAAGTACACTGTTATGTGGCTAAAATCAATGTATATAATTATTTTTCACGAATTTTGTCTTCGTAAAAAAAAAAATTAAATATGTTATAAGTTAAACGAAAACATTTAGTTTTTTAACTACTATTTGTAAGTGCGTATTACAAAATAACACAATTTTAAAAATGTTTTAATACATTGTACGTAAATTAAGTTAAAATAACTTGAGAAACAAAAATTAGCAATGAACATCATAAGAAATTAAAAGCGAGCAACAGATAAATAGTCGTGTCACATTGACTCTTTTTGTTAGCTGAAAGTTTAAAACAATTAATTTACGCCTTTAATCATTTTGATCATTACATATTGAGGTAATGAGCTTCGAGTGGACTAAAACGTTGCAAAAAAGCATTGGATCGCTATGTTACTAACTATCCTATACATGAAAAAAAAGAGGACTAACTTCAGAACAAACTACGTAGCTTTCAAAAAAAAAAAAAATAAACCCAGAAAAAACATATTTTAAAAATTGAAATATACATGCGTATAGAATGACTTACAAATGTATGTGGCATATATATATATATATATATATATATATATTATATATATATATATATATATATATATATATATATATATATATAAATATATTATACATATATATATAGGCTTACATATAGTTGGCATATATATATATATATATATATATATATATATATATATATATATATATATATATATATATATATATATGTGTGTGTGTGTGTGTGTGTGTGTGTGTGTGTGTGTGTGTGTGTGTGTATAAATATACATAAATATAGGCTTACATATAGTTTTTTTTGCGAGGGGGGGGGGGGAGCTGACATAATAACTTATTTAACTTGCTATCTCTGTCTGTCTTCAGTCTGCCTAGATAAAGCACCCGAGAGAAATTGCGGGCACTTCTAACAGACAGATTCAAAGTTGGTACATGGGTAAAGACATGAAGACAATGAACTATGACATTAGATATGACTTAATTGGATGTCTAATTATTTTTTTTTATGAATTAATTTAAATTTAGGCTTAATAAGTACGCTGCCTTATCCAACTATTCCGCAATATTATACGCGCGTTTTCAGGGTCGTCTATAAATGAAGTTACACTCGTAGGTTGAGGGGGGGGGGGGGGGGGGTCCGTAACTTTATGACGGTGTGTAATAAGGGGGAGGGGTTCAGATGGTGGTACCAGTGGCGTAGCAAGGGAGGGGGGTGCGGACCGCACGGGGTGACACCATTTAATGGGGTGACACCAAGGCAAAAAATAGCAAAATATATAGAGAAAAATTATAATTTCACTTAAGTGATTAATTCGAGTGTTAAATAGTCTTTTTAGAGGTGCAAATCGAAAGTTTTGTGCGGGGGGATGCAAATCGAAAGTTTGAGGGAGGGGGGGGGGGGGCAAATCGAAAGTTTGAGAGGTGTGTGCAAATCGAAAATTGAAACTTTGTCCCCGGGAAGGGTCGCTACGTCTCTGGGGGGTGACATCGTTAAGTGCCGCACCGCGTGACACCCAACTTCGCTACGCCACTGGGTGGGACGTTACATTTTTCCCTTAACAAAATGTAATGTTAGAAAACGAATTTAGCCGTTATTTCACGTTTTAGACAACTTTTTTAATAAATTATAATAGGAAATGATTAAAATAATCTATGTTAATCGAGTTCAGACAAGATTTTGGAAAAATATCGATGTTTTAAGAAAAATTCAACTGCAAATTTGGAGGGTGTTGTAGGCTAAGGTGTGACGCCATTTTTTTTTGGGGGGGGGGGGGTCTGGCTTTTTGTGACGATGTATGACGGAGGAGAGGGTGAGGTAAAATCGTCATAAAAGCGTGACGTCATTTATGGATGACCCCCTTAGCTGTACAACAGTTTTTAGTCATGCAACGCTATTTAATTTTGAGAAATATTAAAGTACTGAAAAAAGTAGCTTCAAAACGTTTTAATAACAAGTTTTTATGTAATAATGCACTTAAAGGTAAAAAAAAAGATTTTCGTTAAATGTGTAGCATCCTACGCTTTAAATAACTATAAAGAAAACGTGGGTCTCTTCATGCTTTTCTTTATAGTTATTTAAAGAGTATCGAATTATTATATATTTAACAAAAATAATTTATTTTCTATTTTTTACAGCATTATTATATAATAGCTTGTAATTAAAAAGTTTTTTATCAATTGTTTTTTTTGCTGTTTAATATTAACTTTTATATGCTGAACAAGAATAAAGTATACAAATGGCTTAAGATCTTAAATTGTAAAAAAAAAAATTGAAATAAATTGAATATATCACCATAAAGAATTTTTTTTACATGTTGTTTGAAACACATGTGTAATTTTTTTATTTAAAGTTTTCTTTACATGATTGTGCAACTTTTCTCACCCTTTTCCATCTGGTGATCTAGCATAGGTTTATTCAATTTTTCCTGCATTCGCATCATTTCAGCTTTTTTTTGTTCTTTCTCGAGTTCTTTCTTTCTTTTTCTTTCCGCTTCCTCCTTAACCATATTCTCCAATTTAAGCTGAAACTCTTTCAATTCATTCTGCATTCTTTTTTCTGCTGCTAATTTGTGATCCTCGAGTTCCTTTGTTTTCTTTAAAATCAACTCATTTGCCTTATTTCTTATCTTCTCCTCCAGAGCTTTCATTTTTTTATCATCTTCAATTATTTGAGTAGCGTGGTTTATTTTATTCGTCGCGTCAGTTCTGGTCTGCTTCACGTTATCTAACAATTCCTTCAGTGCTCCAGTGCCCTGATCTTTTTCTGTTAAGTCTTTGATAATAGCATCAATTTGTGGCAAAAGACGTACCAATGCATCTATTTTCTTACTTACGTCTCGCTCAAAATCGCATTTTTTTATTTCATCCAAAAATAAACTTTGAGCTTCCAATGTGTCTTTTCGGATCTTGGGTAGTTTTGAGGTAATATACATGTGCTTACGTTTAAGTGCAGCCTTTTCAAAAAGTTCATTTGAGTATCTAGCTCCGCCATTAGGGAGACGCTCCACCATTTCAATTAGATTTTTAACTTGCTTGTTCTGTTCTGCGGTATCTTCCGTAACGTTGTCGAACAAAACAATTCTGTTGCTACACTCATTTAAAAGGTCTTTGAAAGGACCTTTCTCTTTATTGCAATATTTTTCCATTGTCAAACCTTTTTTTTCTTCTCGTTTGAAACCATCCCCATTGGTCAAGATGATAATGCCGTAATTTTTAAGAAAATCTCCTCCTAGTATACCTTTTAGTATTTGAATAGCTTTTTGTTCATCTGTAGTAAATCGTTGTGCAAATTGTACAACAACTAAAAAAGCGTGGTAACCGTCCGGATTAACTTCCACAGCCTCCTCCATGGCTCCTGTGATTAGTTTAATGTCCTCATCTTTCTTTGAATCTGTATCAATTACTCCTGGTGCGTCGACGACTTGTATTTTATAATTTTCAAAACTACTCCATTCGTACTGTGGCTTTTTTGTCACAGATGTAGATCTGTAATTGCTTTTAAACACATTTTCTTTCCGTAAGATGGAATTACCTGTGGCGCTTTTTCCAAGTCCTGTTTTGCCAATTAAAATTAAGTCCAATTGCTTTTGACCGAACATGTAACTCTGAAAATAAATGTTAAATTTAAATCATGTTCGTTTAAGTGTTTATATATATATATATATATATATATATATATATATATATATATATATATATATATATATATATATATATATATATATATATATATATATATATATATATATATATGTAAAGCAATATATGACTGTGTGTGTCTTTTATGCATTACTACACCTTTTATCCAAACGCCGTGAAACTTTGGGAAATTGTTGATAACACTCCTGGGGAGGTTTCTCTGGAAAAAAAAATCAAGTTCACAGGGGTGAAGATCCGGAAGGGTGCGATTTGTTTTTTCTCTGTATACGTTAAATAAATAAACCGGTAGTGATCTCCCCTAAACTTTCTCGAATATTCTTATATAAAACAACAGGGGATGGTAACTGGGGATATAGTTATGATTTTTAATCCATTTTAAATACTGAAACTTTTAAAATTAGAATAGAATCTCAGTAAAAAACAATTGCGCACCAAGCGAACGCCTAATAAAGGTGTGTATAATAGTGCGCAATAGTATTAGTACTTAATAAATTTACATTCGTTTTTTGAGAAATCGGAAGTAGCGTAAATTACTACTTCCTCTCAACGGAAATTACTCAAAATTTAACAGAAGGTAGAGAATTAGATCATTTACTTACATGTGAAATTTCATTTATCTATCTGAAATAGTACTCAAGTTATAGGCTTTTGAAAAATTCAAAGTAGAAAAAGTACCACTTCCGGTTGTCGAAAATCGCTCAAAAGTTGATACGGATCTACGATTTTGATATAATACTTATATATGAAATTTCATCAACCTAGCTGTAACGGTACTCAAGTTATCGTGTTTACACACGGACACACACACACACACAGACACACAGACATACGGACAAGATTGCAAAATTATATTTTTTCCGTATCAGTGAGGTGTAAAACGTCGAGTTTTGCAAAAATCTCGATTTTTTTTTGCACGATTACAATACTTTCTCTATACCTCGTATATACGAGAAAGTAAAAAAAGTTGATTAGAACACTCCACGTGATGTTTCTGGAAAAAAGTCTTTTTTTAATTTCGCAAGGGCGTCGTCCCGGGAGGTTAAGATTTTTCTCTATATACGGTATCCTCATATATAAAAATCAATGTGCGCAATTATTTCTCTTTCCCTCTCTCTGTCCGCAAAATATTTTCACTTGCTGTGATATTAGTATCGTCAAAGATATGTGGAGAACTTGATAAGGAATTTTGTTGAAAATAATATGGTAGATGTTTTAATTGTATAAACAAAATTTTATTTAAAGAAGAAAAATAAGAATAAAGGCTAATTCGAGTGTAGAAAAACAATTTTAGCCGGAATCCCGCTAGTTCCCGATAGCCAACTTCCATCATTCACGTTTACAAAAAAAAATAAAAAAAAAAATAACTTTGAAATGATGTGTCTCCATCCCATACCACCCGCATGGTAGAAAATACACTACCATCTAAGCTTTATGGGCACTGACTAACCAATGTAGAATTAGTCCTATAATTTACTGCAAAGTAAGAAACCAGATGCGCGAATAGGTCCTATTCTTTTAAATTTAACTAGGGGTCTATATCACAAATTAGCCAATTCCATAGCTAATCAAACAAAGATTTTTATTAAATAATTCAGCCCCGAAATATTTTAGTATATAGATTCTAGTTATAGATTATTCTATATAATAGTTTCGCTGTCTGTGTATGTATCTGTGTATCTATCTGACACGAACGCTCTAGAGAAAACACAAGCAAATTAAAAACATGCATAGTATATCGAAAAACGAAGTATGACGTCGTTACATTTAGCATAGAGTAGAAAATAATCTTAAGCCGGAGAGTGCACACAGTAATATGACGTCATTGATTCTCGAGTAAACATTGAATAAAAAGGAAATTTTGTCTAATCTAAGTGGTTTGCGTGAAGAGTTTCTTTCATACAATTCTTCGGGCGAAGCCCCCTTACCCGCGTAAGAACGTCCGAGCCCCCCCCCCCCCTCCCCAACTCAAAGAAATTTCTTCATCGATACTCTATAATAAAATTAACGCCTAATTAATGTGTCTAATCTAAAAAGTGGTTTTCTTGAAATTTCTTTAATGCAATTCTTCGGGTAGTGGCTAAGCGCGACACCAGTGTTTCTTTCAGACTTTTCCTCCCCGGAGAGGGGTGGGTGTACTTGGAATTTTCGGGGGCGTGGGTAGAATTTTCGGGGAGGGGGCGGACACTGGAAAGAGTATATAATTATATTTCGTTGGGGGGGGGGGGGTTGGGGGTGGGGGTTGGGGGTGGGTGTGGGGGGGTGGGGTGGTTTTAGTTTAGAGAAAAGAGACAGCACTATCAGCCTAGCGCCCGTTGTATCCTTCCTCAACGGGCCATTTTTCTCGTATATGTAGAATTTACGTTGAATCTATATTCTAGTTTTTGCCGTAATTCTAGATCTAGATCTAGAACTTAGATAAATCCCATGCATTCTTAAATTAGATGATCATTGAAGCTAAACAAAGATTTATATACAATAATTAAGGCATGAAATAGATTCTAGATCTAGATTCTAGATGTTGAATTTACATTAAGTCTAGTGACCTAGATCTAGATCTAGATCTTAATATAGAATATAGAATTCTTCATTGGACAGCTGATCTTTAGATCAAGAGAAATGTATTGTATACTAAAATAAAAAAATAACTGTTAAAAAAATTGATAATAGTATTGAAACCGTATAAAATAGCAAACGGACGTATCATTAAAGCGAAAGACGACAGAAAATTAGCTCTATAATGGTTTATACACCTGAATAGAGGCAACAAAATCTTCGATTGAAGCCGCCATTGTTGGTGTGAAAAGTAAATAAATCATGTGTCGTCACTATTCAAAGTCATTGTTCTGAACTTGTATAATTAATGTGGTTAATCTACCAATGAATGTATCAATAAGTTAATTAACGTCTTTAAATTAATTTGTGATTAACAGTCAGTCTGAAAACAAAAATTATTCTCTACCTACATACTATTTTACTGCCCTACAAATAGTGCAGATTCTCTTCTGTCACCAAATGGACAAACAAGCAAACAAAAAAAATATTCAAACATGTAAACAAACTTGAGTTTTAATAGTATATAAATAGGTCTATAATTCACTTGTAACTGGTATCGACGGTTAGTATTGAAAAAGAAGTCGAATTTTGTTTGATACCTTTCATCCAATTGCTATGAAAGTTTAGGGAGTTGATTAAAACATCACTATGGAAGTTTACGCGGGGAAAAAACATTCAAATTCGCAGTGGTGGCGCCCTGGCAGGACGCGATTTTTTTCTCTATGTACAGTTTCTAAAATGGATGTCGATTGCGGTTTGACACCGTTCATCCTATCTTCATCAAACTTTGTGAAGCTAATTGGAACACTCCAGGTGAAATTCCTTAAAAAATCATGTTTAATTTCGTAAGGGTGGCACCCGGGGCGGGGGGGGGGGGGGGGTGGGTTGAAATTCTTTACTATATACGACATATTTAAAAAAATGAAAGTCGGACGCGGTTCGATACTGTTTATCTAAGTGCCAAAAAAACTTAAAGGAGTTGATGAATACTCCCAATAAGATTGCTGGGGGGGGGGGGAATATTTTCCTCGGGCAAGAGGCTATTTAGCGTCCTGTTCTCTCCCTTTAGCGCTATGGTGATTACGTTCGTTCTAAACAGGGTGATAGACAATGGATAAGAGGGTGCGTTATAGTCGTTCACTTAATTCAATCAGATATGTCCAACGGTGTTCTGGTGGTGTGCGATTTGGCTGCGAATAAAAATATTAATTTTGGCCACCAAAGTATCACATGGGCCGCTGAGGGCCATGTAATACGTTTCATTTTAATAATCAGAATAATTAACCGAGGTTAGATTATTAAATGGATTGTTTATTTTTCCATAAAAAAATCCAAACAGTTTCGTCATTTTGCGATCCAATCAGAAATTGAGATCGAGCTTCTAATAATACACCATTTGTAACCCTAAACAAATTGCATCAGTCACATTGATGTTTATGACAAGTCAAATGTTTTTTTTTCCTGACACATGGGCGGTCACCGAAGAGTGTTCGACCAAATTACTTCGGTGAATGATTAACGTACACTCAATGTTTTCATGCATTATTGTAGGTAAACCAGTGTCCCGATATTTATTATTCAAGCACAGGCATTGTTTACATTTAAATAACTCAGTTTTAGAAAAAAGGTCACGCGTTTAAGAAAATAGAATTGGTAACGCATGGATGAAACTTTTCTTCTATCCTCGAGGAAACGCGCGAGGATGGGTACGCTAGTGCTAGTTTTTAAAAATAAAACTTAAAATTTAAAAATAAACTAATACACCAGCATTTGTGATTTTTGTGTAGTCTGTACTGTAATTGAACAGTAACAAAACTTTAAAAGGAAAAGAGAAAAAAAGTATATTACAGAAGGTGCTTTAAGTAGAATTGAATCAAAAGAGAAAATAATTTATCATGTATTAATTTAGTAAGATCTCGACCCTATTATTTGTGACCCTGATTATTATGACAGGACGTATAAATGGAAATGCATTAAGAGCAATAAAGAACTAGATGTAAATTACTAATTATGAATAAGCCTTGGGGGCTTTACAATTTACAAAGTAGGCTGGTCGGAAGTTGAGGAAATACTTGTCGTGAAGCTTTACTGTGGTCAAATTTGTGAAGGCCATTTACACTATATTTGTTAGAGATATCGTTTCGTTAGATATAAGATAAATGATGACGCTACCTTTTTTTAAAAATGCATAACACTTTTAATAACAAGAAGTCACACCTAAGCTTAAATGTTTTGTGTTTTAAATAGATTGATTTATTTTTATAATGTTCTGAGCCCGATCCTCAATTGACTAATATATGAACAGATCATTAAAGCTAACGTCTAACTAAGAAATAATGAGTTAGAACCAATCTGGTGTGTATTTATTTCCCACAATGCATTTTCTATGAGGGAAAACTAAAACAAAAACATTTAACAATAAAATGATGTGTTTCAAAACCGCACAAACCTCGTGGTGAATATTACAATACCATCTCCGCCAGCTACGCGCATACATATTGAGCAATTTTACTACAGCTACCGGAAGAAATTAAAATTGCTAGAATACTATTTAAAATTAAATTATATCTTCATTTAGCCAAATCTACTGCTATAAAAACAAAGATTTAAAAAAGAATACTAACCGTATCAGACATGCTCTTAAATGCGTTTAGAACATCAAGAATGTGACTTGGGAGTTTACTCATCATCATATACCTTGGGAATATATTGAATTTCTAATTAAAGTGTATAAGCAAAAACATAAACACAAAATAAACATAACTCTAACCCTCACCACAATCTCAGAAAACATAATTATCATAAACATAAACCAACTCTCACCACACCTTCAACCGCAACCGCAACCACAAACATAAACATAAACTTCTATATTTTAACCTACAACTACACTTACACCTATATCGATATCTACACCTAGGCATAATACCTAACCTATTCCGAACGGGTATACGACCAACTCCCGAAAGACAATTGCCCGAGTGCCATTTTCCGAGGACCGATTTCAAGAAAAAAAAGCATTTTCCCTAATTCGACAAACGTCCGAATGGACAAGTAAACCACCAATAAAGTTGTGGTAATTGCATTCTTAATTTTTTAAACTCAAACCAAGTATATTTTTGAAACTAATTACATTTTTAAACACATTTTAATATTTAGTAACACTTACATTACATCAATCAAAACTTCGTATCAAACTCACAATAATCTGACAAACTCTACCATAACAAAAAAGAGAAAAATTTGACGTATTGTCACATCAACCCATTTGAATGAATCTATCAGATCAAATGTTTTTAAATTCTCTAGTTAAGGACCTAAAGTAATAATAAAAATGTAACTGTTAGTCAATGCCGCTGTGTCGATCTTTTTAAAGAAACAACAAGTGAAACCTGATGTATGTATAGCAGCATTTTAATCGATTATATTATAAAGATCAAATGAACTCTGTATGTGGCGGGCATGTGTATATAGTAAAAACACGACTTTATCGCCATTAGAAAATATTTTAAAGTGTTTACATTTGTACTAAAATCAATTTGGATTTCCAAAAAAATTAATTTTTTATGGTTTTGTAAAAAAAAGTTTTATTTTCCAACATTATCATTTTCCTTAGTACCATTACTTTCCTATATAGTTTATGAAAAATAAAAATACGTCGGAAAAAAAAATAATTTTGTTAATTTGTTTTGATGTTGGAAAAAAAAAATTATATAATCAGCAGGGATTAATGAAGTGCAATGTGGTCCGTAAAAAAAACGGGTATTTTAAATACTACCTGTTATTTATTTCATGCACTGAATGTAATATTTACCTATTGGTATTAATCAATAATTTTTTAGAAAATAAAATAAGTTTTCTTCTATCTTTCCGTTTTGCGAATAAGATAGGGTATTATTGTCGTTCACTAAATTGAATCAGGCGCGACCGCCTGCGCCTTAGCAGAATGCAATTTTTTTTTGAAGCCCCGTGTCTTATCGTGAGCGCTATGGAAACTAAGTTCATTTGAGTGCGTGCAATAAACTACAGATAAGACTGGGTATTACAGTCGTTTACTAAGTGAATCAGGTAGATCCTTCGGCGCCCCGGCAGGGTGCGATTTTGCGGCCTCAACTATAACGTGAGCCATATTTGTGTTTTTGTTCGCGTTTATTTTTGCATTATTTTCTGTTATTGTTTGTGTTGTATTTGTCATAGGTTTGTGTTTGTGTTTTTGCTTGTGGTAGTTGTAGGTAGGGTCAATTCAAGAAATAATATATTTTCTTAACCCAGGTAATGTCAAGTATATGCTGCTTAATAAACACAAAAGTCACGATCCCTTACAGATATTGTTTTTCAAAGAGGCCAGAGCAGGTCCTGGCCGGAATGCTATCTCTTATATATAAAGATGAAATGGACACTGCGGCAACTCTGATAAACATGCATATAATAAATAACTCTACTTTATAAAAATGTGTAATCTTTTTAAGGGTTTATTTACTTACTTTTTTTTACAATTTTGAGAACTAAAGCATTTGTAACATGTTAGTAACATGAAAGTTAGTATTAAACAAAAGAAGTAGAAAACAATTTTGGTTGTCATGGAGATCCGAAAAAAAAATCCGCCATTTTGATTTTTTTGAAATTTTGAAAAAGCTAACGGTTTTTTATTTATAAATCTATAGCAATCAAATTTATTCGGCTTATATTTCAGTATATATCAAAACTTTTGTCACGACAACTTTTTGAAAGAGCTACTGGTCCGAATTTTACAAGTTCCGAAAAATAGTACGTTTTTAGTATTAAAAAATTTCAAAATTTGAATATTATTTACCATGAACTTTTTTTCAATGAAAGCCTACACAATTCCTTCTTGACAAAGGTTTTATTTTTCCATGAAGAACAATTACTAGAAATATGGTTGGCATTATTTTAATAAATAAAAATGTAATAGGCTTTTTATTGTTTAAAAAGTTCGAACTGAGAAGAACAACAAAAAGGAACGAAAAGTAGGTCACAAAAATACCATATCTGGGTAATTTGTTAAGTAAATTGTAAGCTTTGGGTTTTTCCGAGATCATTGAAAATACGCTTATCAAAAACATGAGAAATGCAGCTTTTGCAATGATGCCTAATGCAATATGATAACGGATAAGAAAAACGTTTCGATAGATTGAGAAAAATAATTATTTTTTCTTTAATTGGGTAAAAAATGATTTTTTTTAAACACACTTTTTTTTACATTGGTTATTTAGTCTATTTTTTTTCTTAATACTAAAATGGACAAATTATCCAAAAGTGCAAGAAACTTATTATGACGATAAAACAAGGCATTTGTGATTTTGTAAGGAGCATATCCCCATAAAGTTTTCATTTTTTATTAAAATCTCAATGTTGATCTTTTTCAAACAAAATTTTCATTTTACATCTTACCATTTTCATTGACGAAACTTGCAAATATTAAATTTAAATTAAGTGTATTATATTACCCTTTTCAATAAAATTCCAATTTTGTTTTTAAAAAGAGGACAAATTACATCCCTTTGCGCTAATTATTTATTTGACTGACATAAAATTTTCTTTCTTTAAAGGTACTTTTTTGTTTGCATGTGTGTTTCCGTTTGTTTTTCTGTTTGTGTTTGCGTTTATGTTTGCGTTTGCGATCATGTTTGCGTTACGTTCCTATTTTGCGTGTTTGTTTGCGTTTGCCTTTATGTTTGCGTTCGCTATTGTGTTTGCGTTTGCTTTTGTGTTTGCGTTTCTTTTTTGGTTTGCGTTTGTGTTTGCATTTTGTTTGCGTTTCTGTTTGCGTTACGTTTGCGTTTGAGTTTGTGTTTTTATTTTTCTTGTGCTTGTTGTGCTGTGTGGGTTAAGTTTTGAGTTAGATTTAGATTTAAGGTTATGCGTCCATATTTGTATATGGACATTTAATTGGCAGAGTAATATATTTCCTAAACCCGGGCATGTCGTGTACATGCTGCTTAATTAATACACAAGTCACTGTCTTTTACAGATACTTTTTCAGAGAGACCAGTGCAAAATTACCGTTTCCGAATACAAAAGCCGAGAATAGGTAGAATCTATATTAATAATACTTAGGCCGGAGGGTTGTAAACGTGTAGGGGGGTGGAAGCAGGCGTTGTCACTGAAATAGCAATATTAACAGAAAGTGATATTTCAACGCCAAGGGTAGACAAAGGTACAGAAAATAGTCCAAGTAAAGACAAGCAGTCAGACACCAACGGGTTTCGAACCTAACATTCCACACGGCACCTATCGCCTTCGCCTTCCATGCATCAAGTCAGACGTGTAACCGCTTCTTCCACTCGGCCCTACAAAAATAAGGCTTTCGTGGCAGACCACTATCATAGCTTGTGCAGGTAGACGCGGGGTGGCTTTGACCCTTGACCCGAAAGGTCAAACCGCTAGCTTTCATAAACACAACAAGGACCATTATTCGACCATACAAACAACACACACACAAATACCGAGACGATGGCACAGACAAATAGTATATATATATATATATATATATATATATATATATATATATATATATATATATATATATATATATATTTCGATAGATAAGGGGTACTTTTAGTACATTGATCAATTGTATGATTAACGTTATATTTATTATTTTTGGTAATACATAATCATCAGAATATAAAATAGTATTTCGAGACAATACTTTGCAAAAGGTAGTAATTTTATACATATATATATATATATATATATATATATATATATATATATATATATATATATATATATATATATATATATATATATATATATATATATATATAATAATTTTTACCTTTGGACTAAAATTTTATGACATTACATACATTTCAAATTTACAAAAGATTAAGTGTTGAGTTAGAGTAAAAAAAAAATTGGCCATATTACATCGATACTATTTGCAAAGCTTGTGATCTAGAAATCTGAGGCTGTTTTTAAGGTTTAAAAAATGTAAGGTTCACATAGTGAGTATTCGCCACACAAATATTATAGACATGTTCCATTTCTAACAATAGTGTATATTGTTTATATTGCTTCTACTGAAAAAAAAAAACAACAAAAAAAAACCCGATTCGACGCAAATGGTGGGGTGGGTGGGGTCATGGGGGCATATGTTTGAAGCGGTAGGGATTGGTTGGGTTCGGCGGGCCAGGAACCTGGAGCGTTGTTGCGTGACCTAACTACTGTGGTGTTCTGTTTATAGCGTGTGTGTTCGGTTGTTTTCCTTGACGAGTCGTCCTCTATATATCAGGCCCAAAGTCTGTCTAGTAAATTCTGTCTTGTTATGTTTTGCCCTATTTCTGCCACAGCAGATAGTTTGTCTATATAAAGCTACTGTCCTTACTTTGCATTTCAATACCGTCCTGTCTTTCTGTCTAGGTATATTGTTTTATGTCATAGCTATGTCAATTTTGGAAGACTCATTTCTAGTCGTAAGTATAGTTTCTAAGGTTTTCTTCATGCTCTGAATGGTTGGTCTGTCTAGATAGATGTGTTTTTCTGCTTCCGGTGTGTCTTGTTAGCGCAGATAGCAAAGAGATATATGTTTGTGTGTCACTGGTAGTGTATTACTTGTGTGTTTGTGTCTCAGTGGTGTTGCGTTGTAGATGAGTCTGTGTACAATTCTCTGTCTTTGGGTGTAAATGTGCTAAAATCGAGGTTTGTTAAAGCATAAGTCATACTCCATATTATTCTATTATATAGGGCGGGGGCTAATTTTGTACTAATTTCTTGTAGATATATTGGGATTGTTTGGATAGTAGATTTTCATTGCTTTTTAAAATTTGTATATATTCAGTGTAAATGTCATTTAGTTTTGTTCCTACAAAATGTGGGGAACTATTGTTAATTTTAATGAGTTTGTTTACCTTTATTACCATGGAGCTGTGTGCTAGTCGGCGCAATATTTGTTTTTCCATAAATTAATGCTACAGTAGTAGGTCAAACATCAGAATTTTTTTATACCAAGATTAAAATATTTTAAGTAAGTTTTCAACAAATTTCTTACAAAAGATTAAGAAATTTTAAATAAATATTAGTTAATTATTTTTAGAACGATTTTCCTATCGGTATACTTTACAAATTATATGCTGTATTATACATGTCATATTCTAAGTAGCTTTGTAAAAATTCGTATGTCAAATATTTTTATTACTGAAGTATTTTGTTTCTCTCCAATAGTTTAGGTAATACTACCCCGTAAATAATGGGTCCTATGTGCTTTGACCACAGATGCTTTGATCATAGGTGGTTTGATCATACAGGGCTTGACCATAGGGAGTTTGGCCATAGGGGGTTTGACCATTGGGGGTTTGAACACAGCGGGGCTTTGACCATAGATGTGCTTTGACCATAGGGGGTTTGACCATGGGGGTTTTACCACAACGGGGCTTCGGCCACAGAGGAGGGCTAACCATAATATATAGGTTTTAAAATATAAATTATAAACTGTAATAGTTAAAGAAGTTTTCTTGGGTAAAGCGTGCAAAACATAATCTGCGAGAGTTGAAGCGACTGTCTTTTGTGTTGCTGCTAGAGTAGCAAGAGTAGCCTCAAGTCTTCTTTTCATTTCTCCAACAGCTCGTTTTGCCAAACCATAGCTAATTTTTCCTTCGTGTGAATGTTGAGGAACCTGCTCTCCTATAATCACACGGTCTTGTGCAATTATTGCAGCTTTGCACTTACAAGTGCGATTCTTCGTACACCGCGAAACGCGTGACCCGTGCTATACATTCCCAGATTCTCCATGGTTTTAACATAGAGTAGTTTAGATGCCTTGTATTTATACATAATGAATTAACATATTATTACATCATATCGCAATTTAAAATATAATTTAGCAACTATTAAAATAAATCCTTACCATATATGGCGAGCATTGGACAAACCACTTGAGTTCAAAGACACTATGTGGACAAAAAACCTATGATTAAAGCCGGATACAGCGCTTGTGATCATACACCCGTTGACAAACCGCCTGTGATCAAAGACCCTCTGCTGAGAAAACACCTGTGGTCAAACCCCCTATGGTCAAAACCCTTATGGTCAAAGCCCCGCTGTGGTCAAACCCCCTATGGTCAAAGCACATGTGGTCAAAGGTCCGAGCATTAAATAATGTTACAATTAGATGTACTGTCATAGATAACGGTTGGCACGTAGCTTGTGTTTCACATTGTCTGTTTGGAACAAGTCGTCATAAAAAACAATTGTTTTGACTCAGGGTGACTTCAAGGATGGGTTGAGGGCGGTTTTCAAAAATATTTGAATCGATAAAAAATATAAATGGCTTTTCTACGGCTTATTTTCACCATAAAAATATAAAAAGAGTGTAGTTGATGGTACCCAAGCAGCATAAATTATTAGAAATGTAGCTATAATTTCATCGCATGTCATATTTTTATAAAGATTAAAAAATTATTCGTATTATTACTTAGACATTACTAACCTATTATATGACTTTAACACTTGCATTTATTCAATTTTTATTATAACTATTTTTACAAGCATTCATTTAACTCACTTCCACTGTCTGTCGTCAGTCTGTCTTTATAGATCGAAACGCCCGAGCGAAATCGTAGGAATTTCTACTTAACATATACGGTTCGTAGATTGTACGTGAGTCAAGACATGAAGATAATGCATTTTGACATTAAAGTTGACTTAATTGGATACCTAATTAATTTTTTATGAATTTATTAAAATTGTGTCCAAGTTAATAGGCTGTCTCATCAAACTATTTCGCGCTATTAGACACGCGTCATCATGTACAATAGGGCGTGGTCACGTTCAATAGGTGCTCAATGGTTTTTAGTCCTGTAACTCTATTGTAAACAAAAGAAGTAAAGTACTAAAAAAATTAAGAAAAAAACATTTTAATAACAAGCTTTTGTGTAATAAAGCACTAAAAAATAGAAAATAAATTATACACTAATATTTAAATAAAAAAGAAAAGCGTAAGTCTCTTCCTAAACATTAGTAAAATTATCCAATAGGTGCTAAAGTGGCCCACGCTTTTCTTTATAGTAATTTAAATATTAGTGTATAATTTATTTTCTACTTTTAAGTGCATTAAACATAAAAGCTTGTTATTAAAACGTTTTTTATGTATTTTTTTACAAGCTTTTATTCAACTTGATTCCTATGTTGTCAGTCTGTCTAGATCAAAAATTCCCTAGCGAAATTGCAGAAACTTCTTACTGACAGATACGGTTCGTTGTTGGTACATGGGTCAAGACATGAAGACAATGCAACAAGACATTAAATTTGATTTAATTGGTTGCCTGATTAATGTTCTATGAATTAATTGAAGTTATGTCCAAATTAGTAGGCTGTCTCATCAAACTATTCCGCGCTATTAGACACGCGACATCACGTTCAATGGGTGCGCAATGGTTTTTAGTCATGCAACTCTAGTGTAAATAAAACATGTAAATCACTAAAAAAAATCAGAAAAACGTTTTATTAACAAGCTTTTATATAATAATGCATTAAAGAGTAGACAAAAAATAGACACTACTATTTAAATAACTATAAAGAAAAGCGTGGATCTCTTCCAAAATATAAATAAAGGTATCCAATAGATACTAAAGTGACCCACGCTTTTCTTTATAGTTATTTAAATAGTACTGTATCATTTTTGTGTACTTTTTAGTGCATTATTACATAAAAGCTTGTTATTAAACGGTTTTTATGAAATTATTTTATTAATATAAATTGTTAGTTTTTACATTTGCTACGTAAGTTAAATATAACACTAGCGTATTGGCAAAATTAGGAAAAATCCATGTAACTGTTAAAAACAGAACATTATTTTAATATAACTCTTTCATGTTATACAAAAATCCACTTGTACGTACCGTCAAAGAACTCTCCAATGAAGTGCAAACAATATGCGAGTTTATAGCTGAATAAAATACCACCCGTTATTAACCTCAGGTATGGACAAAATGCGGTCTCAAAATGGTTGCATATAATGAGACGCCAATATATTAAACGCAATGCGCATGCGTCTAGCTCTAGATACAAATAGGCGTTATATTATAACTAATTTGACGCGGCTAAAGCTGTATTTATATGCACCTATACAAGATATAACAAAGAAATTTCAAAGGCGCAGGCACCGGTGTAGATCTAGGCATGTTCGATTCATATTTGGTTTACGTTCAGTTCATGCTTCGTTCGTGTTCATTTTTTTCATGTCCTGTTATGTTTATGTTCATGTGCATTTCAAGTTCCACCCATGGTCCATTGATACTTGTTTGATGCTCGGTTCATGTTCATGTTTGATTAATGCTCGGTTCATGTTCGGTTGAAATTTGTTGATGTTCGATTAATTTCCGGTTCATTTTCGGGCCATGTTTGGTTCACGTTCGGTTCAAGTACAATAATATGCTCAATTTATGCTTGATTCATGCTCTGTTTATGCTCGGTTCATTGTCGGTTCTTTGTTTATGTGTTATTATCCGCCTTTAAACCTTAACATTTAGGCGTTAAAGGTTTGGATCGTTATAATATGTCTATTTTGCATCAACATACAACATACAATTCAAGCTTATATTTATAACTAGGCTTCCCGGCCAAGAAACGCCATGAACATCAGAAGAACCGTGTATATTGATTGTTTAGTAGAAAATAAATTTGAAGTAGTCGTACTCTATATATCTCTTAAAATAACTGTAAAATAAACCGGGAGTGATCTCCCCTAAACTTTCTCGAATATTCTAATATAAAACTACGAGGGATGGCAACTCAGGACATAGACAATATTTGTAATCCATTTTTAATTACTTAAACTTTTTATAATAGAACTAGCCATCGGTAATGGTTTCACGTGAATTATAGGCCTATATATTTTAAAATGTACTTGTTTGAGAAAAATAATTTATGAAATAGTTATTGCTCAAAACGTAATGTGCTTTACTACACGCTGAACGATATTAATGACAAAGCAAAAATAACTAATTAGCTAAAATCAGACTCATTTAACGTACATTTAGATCTAGACTCTAGTCTAGAATCTAGATCTAGAATCCAAATAGATAAAATAAATTTTATAAGTTTAGGTCGGAAAAATTGTATTGTATACATTTCATAGCGTACGTTGTCTAGATCTAAATCAAATTTGAATGAAATAATTCATTTCTTTTTATTCTAAACATGGCGATGACCTCATTAGTTTATGTATAAACAATAGTGACGTCACTGTTTTATGCGTTCTTTTTCACAACTATAATCGCTTTTCCTGTTGCATAATTAAAACTGTTTTTCTACATTCGAATACGCCTTTCCTTTTTATTTTTCTTCTTTAAATAAAATTGTGGTTATACATTTAAAGCATCTAACATATTATCGGAAACAGCGTAAATTAGTACTTCCTGTCAACGGAAATTACTCAAAATTTGCCAGAAAGTAGAGAATTAGATCTTTTACTTACATATGAAATTTCATTTATCTATCTAAAATAGTACTCAAGTTAGAGGCTTTTGAAAAATTTAAAGTAGAAAAAATACCACTTCTGGTTATCGGAAATCGCTCAAAAGTTGATCATGATCTACGATTTTAATAAAATACCTATATTTGAAATTTCATCAACCTAGCTGTAACGGTACTCAAGTTAGCGTGTTTACACACAGACAGACAGACAGACACACAGACACACAGACACACACACACACACACAGACATACGGACAAGATTGCAAAATTATGTTTTTCCGTATCAGTGAGGTGTAAAACGTCGAGATTTTAAATAGCTCATATTAAACATTTTACATGGTCTAAAAACATTGTAACCTTTATAGTATACAAAAGTTACAAAGTGTGCATATTATTTACCTTAAACCTTTTTTCTATGAAAAGTTTCAAAATTCCCTAGCAACAAATAAGTACAATATCACATTTGTAGTTCTGTATAATTTTTTTTCAGCGATTTTCGATAAACGGAAGTGGAACTTAGTTTACTTTTAATTTCTCAAAAGCCTATAACTTGGGTACTGTTTTAGATAGAGATACGCAATTTCTCATATAAGTTCTAATTTTCTGCCTTCTATTAAATTTTGAGTAATTTCTGTTTACCAGAAGAAGTAATTTACGCTATTTCTGATTTCTCTAAAAGAAATATGAATTTATAAAGTCCTAATAATATTCCGCACAATTATACACATATTGTTTGCCGTTCACTTGGTTCGTAATTCTTTTTTTCTACGAGATTCTATTCTATTTTTAGAAGTTGAAGTGATTAAGATGGATTAAAAATTATGCCTATATCCCGAGTTGCCATCCCCAATAGTGTTATATAAAAATATTCAAGAAAGTTTAGTGGAGATCACTCCCGCTTTATTTATAATCTATTTCTTTTTTTACATTTCAACTATTAACCAAATTGCGTGGCTCTTAATCACAATTTCTTTACGCTGTTGTGCAATATAATCTATTCTGAAGCCATTGGTTTATGAATATATTTTTAAATACAAAAGGCATTGAACATATGGTTACACGAACATAAGATTGTAAGATTTTTCAAAAAGTATGAATTGTTTTATAAAGGTTCATCGTCGAAAATTATCTTCTTTGTTCTAAAGTGTAATGTTGAATATGATTTCCTCCAACACAATTAATACGCCGTATCATACGCCGCTATTTAGTTGTTTTATATTCTACTTTTCAGTAATTCATAATTTGTGAATTCGACAGTAAAAATGCTGCCACTTAAAATATTTCCTTTAAAACACTATCAAATGGCCGTTAACGACGATACCCCCCTCCTTTCCCCCAAACCCTACCCCACCACCAGCCCACCCCCGCACCACCCCCCCCCCCTTGAAAGCAAACTCCTCTTAGTTACCTCCCCTAAGTTGAAAATCGTTTCAAACTAAATTATCTGCTACTTATAGCCGTCACTAAACCCGGCTCTACGATTGTAAACATTTAGCGTAAACCACAGTTCACCAGACCATGTAGGGGTGGGGGTGGTAGGGCGCGCTTACAGCTTGGTGTTTTCTATCGTCTCCAAGAAGAGAATTATATATATATATATATATATATATATATATATATATATATATATATATATATATATATATATATATATATATACATACATATATATATATATATATATATATATATATATATATATATATATATATATATATATATATATATATATATATATATATATATATATATATATTTATATATATATATATATATATATATATATATATATATATATATATATATATATATATAGATGAGTCATTTTTTTGTTTCAATTTTACACCTGATGCATTTTAATTACTTTTGCCATGTTTGTTATTAAGTTACTAAATAGCAAAACAGAGTTTAAAATCTATATCTTTTGTCATCGAAACAAGAAAAAAACATCCGCCGTTTGAGTTTTTCTTCACTCTTAAAAACGCTAAGGCTTTTTTTACTTTCTCGTATATACGAAGTATAGAGAAAGTCTTGTAATCGTGCAAAAAAAATCGAGATTTTTACAAATCTCGACGTTTTACACCTCACTGATACGGAAAAACATAATTTTGTATGTGTGTGTGTGTGTATGTAAACACGATAACTTGAGTACCGTTACAGCTAGGTTGATGAAATTTCATATATAAGTATTTTATCAAAATCGTAGATCCTGATCAACTTTTGAGCGATTTCCGATAACCGAAAGTGGTACTTTTTCTACTTTTTCTATTTCAGATAGATAAATGAAATTTCACATGTAATTAAAAGATCTAATTCTTTACTTTCTGTCAAATTTTGAGTAATTTCCGTTGACAGGAAGTACTAATTTACGCTATTTCCGATTTCTCAAAAAATGCACGTAAATTTATAAAGTACTAATAATATCCCGCACTATTATGCACATTTTATAAGGCGTTCACTTGGTGTGCAATTCTTTTTTTTACGAGATTCTATTCTATTATAAAAAGTTTAAGTAATTAAAAATGGATTACAAATATTGTCCTGAGTTGCCATCCCTCTTAGTTTTATATTAGAATATTCGAGAAAGCTTAGGGGGAATCACTCCCGGTTTATTTTAAATGTATGCATTTAAAGCACACACGTTTACACTGCTTATATTTAGAACATATTAAAACTTTTGTCGCTACAACTTTTGGATAGGACTACTAGTCTGAATTCTTCAAGGTCCGAAATATTGCACTACACTTAGTACGCTAAAATCTGAAATATTTGCATATTCATTTTACTAGAATCTTTTTTTCTATGAAAACCATCAAAATTCCCTCGTGATATTGTCTTCATTCATTTATTTCGTTGAAGGGGACGTGCTTCAGTGTGGGTGGTGGGGGGAGGGGTCGCCACCCCTCAGAGGCGCCTGAAAGAAATTCTAAGTTCAACTTATGTCATGTTTTAGACAGGGTGCAAGGGTTTAGAGATATGGTAACGACTATATTTAGTATCAATGTGCACTAACTACGTGTAGATCAAGCTTAAATTCTATTAAAATGCCGATCCTGGATACAAATTTGTTTTCGATTACATTTTTCGTTAGTTTCCGGTTAAATTTGAAGATGAGGTGGTGGTTTTGGTTTTAATTTAGAGAAATAGACATCACTATCAACCTGTCGACGGTTTTATTTCTCATTCAACTGGCCATTTATCCTGAGATTACAGAATAATACATTAAATAATGTCCGAAATTCAAGTTTAATCTAGATTTTTCTAGATCTAGTAGTCTAATAACTTTAAGCCTCTAATAATAATAGTAGTAATAACTGAATAGAAGAATTATGTTAAGAACTGGCTGTCTTATTTTAGTTATCTTTAAAAATTATCGTAATATATGATTTAGTCTACTCTTTGCATTATGTAGTGATTGATTTATTTATTAAATAATGGAGAATAGTTCATTGTTAGTAGACCAAAATGTGTTAATAGTCATAGATGGATCAACTGACTAATCAAATCAATATAATTA